AACAGCCCCCTCCATAAGCTACAGTTTTTTTATTGGAAAAGGGAAGACTGCAGAGATCCATGTCGCTTTGCTGGAAGGAACCCAACAGGAGACGACAACGCCTACTCCACATACAGTGTTCCCCCAGAAATGCTTTCCTAAGGACCTTCCCAATTTCTCCTTTTATCTCTTCAGACAATGTACAAAGAGTTAGTCAGTTTTATTCCCACAATAACTCTGCAGGTGTATTAAATTTATGAGGTTTAACATTCAGAATGGTTGAAGCAACATATTTCCAATGTCTACTTGAGATTTTATTTCATTGAGATTTTATAGCCAGGGTAGATTGCAATGGGACGCAGGTGGCGCTGTGGGTAAAAGCCTCAGCGCCTAGGGCTTGCCGATCGAAAGGTTGGCGGTTCGAATCCCCGCGGCGGGGTGTGCTCCCGTTGCTCGGTCCCAGCGCCTGCCAACCTAGCAGTTCGAAAGCACCCCCGGGTGCAAGTAGATAAATAGGGACCGCTTACCAGCGGGAAGGTAAACGGCGTTCCGTGTGCTGCGCTGGCTCACCAGATGCAGCTTTGTCACGCTGGCCACGTGACCCGGAAGTGTCTCCGGACAGCGCTGGCCCTTGGCCTCTTAAGTGAGATGGGCACACAACCCTAGAGTCTGTCAAGACTGGCCCATACGGGCAGGGGTACCTTTACCTTTACCTAGATTGCAATACATAGATTGGGTACTCATAGCTATGGTCTAGCTTTCACAATGAGCAGATGGGTTAATAAAGCTGAGTCTGGATTGTACCACTTTGCATGGCAGATGGCATCTTACATGAAGGAATGGGGAGTGGGGAGTGAGAACCAGAACCCATCCCACAGAAAACTAGCACTCCGGTGAAAAGGCTAAGCTACAATGCTGTTCACTGACCTATCATTTTGTATGTTCAGGATTCTTACTGTTTTTTAATATGGAAGACTACTCAGTCACCTGAGTCTCTATCTTCAGTCTGAAGAGCCACAATCCAGACACAACCTTCCCTCTTCCATCTCCTGCTTATGAGAAGTTGGCTTTTGAGAATAGGGCTCTGTTTTCAAGAATGGTGGAAATAGAGACATCCCATGCCAGACATCCCAAGGAATGTTGGCAGAGAGAATAACTAAGAGCTGTGATGTCACCTGCCCCGGTTTAAAATGGGTGAGGTTGAACAACAACAACTTTATTATTTATGATGATTTACAGTATAATGATGATTTTATTATTTACACCCCACCACTCTGGGTGGCTCCCAACAAAATATTAAAAACACAATAAATCACAGAGAATTTAAAACTTCCCTATACTGTACAGGGCTGCTTTCAGATGTCTTTTAAAAGTCGCATGGTTATTTATCTGTTTGACATATGATTGGAGGGCGTTGTTTATTGTGGAAAAACAATGGGCCACAAATTTGAGTGTGTTTGTGAATAATTCACGCAACTAAATCTGAAATGCAATGGAATCCTTCAACTGTTTATCTGTAGTCCCTACAAGGTTGGGGAAAACCCCACAAATGAACCAGGGAACATGATTCCCATTTAGTTACCTTGCCCTAAGCAGCTAGGATAGTAGATGGTCTTTGTGGCCATCTGAGCAAGGAAGGTGGGGCAGCAGAGCTGGGGTGTGTAGACAGTTTTTACATTTGTGTTGGAGGAAGGGGCAGGTGCCTGTAATAATTACAATAAAACCCAATATAATAATAATAATAATAATAATAATAATAATAATAATAATAATAATAATAGGGGAACTGCTGCATCAAGGCTTTAACTAAATGACCAGTGATACCATTGAAAGTATGTGATCCATCACAGCCTTTTAAAAAGGATTTTTTTGCTGGGACTATGACAGTATCATGCTGGGACTATGACAGTATTATGCTGACCAGACTCCCAGTCCGGTTTTGAATCTAATTCAATGTGCTCATTTTACTTTAAAGCCCTTTGTGATTTAGGACTAAGTACCTTTTGATATATTCCTGTCTATACATCAAGAAATTCTGTAGAGGGCTTTCTACCAGTACCCTCACCAAAAGAAGTAGATGGGTAGCTACAGAAGATAGGGCCTTCTTGGTGGTGACACCCCAGCAAAGAGCATAAGGCCCATCTTGTCCAGCCGTCTGTATTTACAAGTGTCCAACCTGTGTGAAGCCCTCAAGCAGGAACTGAGTGCAACAGCACTCTCTATATATGGGATTCCCACTGACTGGTAACTGTGGAACACTTTCCTTAGAGAGGCTCACAAAACACCTACCTTATTGCTGTTCTGGTGCATGATACGGATTCAGCTTTTTAGGCTGCAATCATATTCACACATACCTAGGGCTTACTTTTGAGCAGGCATGCATAGGACTCTGCTGTTACTGAGCTGGCATATATAGGATCGCAGAGTTAGTTGCATTAGGTTTATAACAACAGTGCTTTATTTCCATGCTTGTCAATCAACCACCCGCCCCTCTCCAAACCTCTCTGCATCCCATTAAAAAGTAAAAACACAGGTACCAAAAATATTAACCAATCATGGTTATTACAAACTTCATTACGGGTAAATAATGAAAGCTCAAAACCATGGTTCTGTTCTGAAACAGTTTCACTGCCTGATGAGGTGCTTCCCAAATCAGTTCAGGGTGCTAATGCTTATCATTAAAGTTTGTGGCAGCTCAGGCCCTCCTGGATATCTCAAAGTTGTCTTTTCTCATGTCTACTTTCCTGTGCATTAAGATCTTTGGGTTTCTGATGTTAGGTGGGTGACAATTGCAGAGAGGGCCTCTATGGAATACTCTCACCATAGAGGCTCTCCAGCTCATATATATCTTCCGTCATACAGCTTCAGTATGCTGATGACAACGTAGTGTGCGTACGCTCAGAGGATGACCTCCAAACCATCCTAAATATCTTTGCAGAAGCTTACAAAAAGCTTGGCCTATCACTCAACATCCAAAAAACCCAAAGTGCTGCACCAACAAGTACAAAATAACCGCTCTGCAGTGCCACAAATCCAACTCAATGTTGTAACGTTGGAAAATGTTGATCACTTCTCCTGCCTAGGCAGTTATCATTCCACAAGGGCCAACATTGATGCCGAAATCCAGCATCGCCTGAGCTCTGTGAGCGCAGCTTTCTCCCGATTGAAGTGCAGAGTGTTTGAGGACCGGGACATTCGTAGGGTAACCAAAATACTTGTTTACAAAGCTATTGTACTACCAACTTTACTATATGCTTGTGAAACATGGACCACTTATAAATGCCATCTCCAGCTCCTCCAAAGATTCCATCAACAGTGTCTCCGAAAAATTTTACACATCACTTGGGAAGACAGGCAAACTAATATCAGTGTACTGGAAGAAGCAAAGATCACCAGTGTTGAAGCAATGATTCTTCAACATCAACTTCGTTGGACTAGTCATGTTGTGTGGATGCCTGATGATCGTCTTCCAAAGCAACTACTCTATTCCGAACTTAAAAATGGAAAACGTAATGCTTGTGGTCAACAAAAGAGGTTTAAAGACTATCTCAAGGCAAATCTAAAAAAATGTAGTATGAACACTGACAACTGAGAAACACTGGCCTGCGAGCGCTCCAGTTGGAGAATAGCCTTTACCAAAGGTGTCATGGGCTTTGAAGACACTCAAACTCAGGACGCAAGGGAGAAATGTGCTAGGAGGAAGGCACGCTTGGCAAATCCACACTGTGATCAACTCCCGCCCGGAAACCAATGTCCCCACTGTGGAAGGACGTGTGGATCCAGAATTGGCCTCCACAGTCACTTATAGACTCATTGTTAAAACCGTGTTTATGAAAGACAATCTTACTCAGTTATGAGTGATCACCAAAGAAGAAGATATCTTTGGTGCCAAATAACTTTTTATTTTCCCTAAGTCAAACAGTGGGCCAAACTATGTGTTGGGTTAATCACATGGCTTGCCTTTAATGAAGGATTTTCCTTCCAATCTGGACTAGGATTGAACAGATAATCAGACCCGCCAAGTGTGCCTATTTTCTAGGGACCTCCCTGGTTTAGAGAAGCCGCCCCAGTTTCTGATTTGATCCTGGAGTGTTCTACTTTTTCTCAGGAAGTCCCTATTTTCATAGGAGAAATGTTGGAGGGAATGGGGTTATCTCACCCCTGAGCCGTCTTAAGACAATCCTGTATAGGGAAGGTTTTTTTAAAATGTTTTATTATGTTTCTAGATACGTTGGAAGCTGCTCAGAGTGGGCGGGGCAACCCAGGAAGATGTGCGGGGTAGAAATAGCAAAGTTATCATTATGGAATGGGACGTCCCTATTTTCATCAGAGAAATGTTGGCAGGTATGAAAGAGATATCTCTTCCCCCACTGTGCCCTGCCACCACCTCCCTCCCCTTCCATTATCTGTGATCAAGCCCATTCTTGACTGAGTCCAAAGCAGAGCAAAGATTAATTGCCGCTTCTTCCTGCTCAGTATTAGGATCCTGATCTTTGCGAAAGGAAAATTCTACACTTAAGAGGAAATTTCTTTTGAATGTAACATGTGGTTTGGTCCTGAGGTTTTTTCTTCTTCTTGCAGCTGGTTCCCTGCTGCTGCTGCTGCTTTTCTTCTGATTGTGCAGTTTGTATGTGCCATTTGGACATGGTTTTGTTGCTTGTTTTAAAGTTTCAGATTTTAATGAGAGCTAGCATGGTGTCAGACTAGGGCCAGGAAGACCTGGGTTCCAATCCATACTCAGCTTTAAAACCTAGTGGGCTACTCTTTCTCTCTTTCTCAGTTTCATGTAGTTTACAAGATTGTTGTGAGAGAAAATTTGGAGGATGGGGGGTGGGGAGAACAGTGTTTGTCACCCTGAACTCCTGGGGTGGGGGGAGGAATGTAATAAATAAATAAAACATACAAACCCATGCAGCTACTGCATTTAGAAAAACTCTACTGCAAGATCTGAAGCAGGAATCTTTGTCTCCGTACAGAAACTAGCCTCCCCCTCCTTCCCCAGCCATTTTCTCGTTCCTTACCTGTGGCTGTTTCTGAGGGGAAAGCATTCAGCAAGGCTCATCATTGTCCTTTATGCTTCAGGCATCCACTGTTTTGCTTCTTGGGGTTGCTATATGGGGTAAACTTGGCACCCCAAAGATGGCTGCTGCTAAGACCCTCTCCCTAGAATAGCATCACAGAATCGGCTTGTCTCCTGCTCGGTTTCAATCCTGCTGCAGCCATAGGAAGACTTTCTGTCACACCACTACGTTGATTTCACAGACAGATTGGAACCGAAGGAGTCCAGGCACCAATGAGGCAGCGCTTCGCTTAGGAAATACCAGGGTTTCCCTAGCAACAGGTTGAAAGCTTAGAATTATAGCTAGGAAACCATGGGGTTTCCCTAGCTACGGACAGCTACTGACGAGCGTAAGAGCATCACTCAGCTCAGCCTGGCAGTGCAAAAGCACCCTCAAACGTTTGCTTTCCCCTCCTCTCCTTGCTGCAATATACGAACAGAGCAAGTAGTAATCCATGTTTCCATGGATTTTGGAAGCAACTGATAGAAGAGGTGTGTCTGTGAAGATGTTTTGCAGCAGAATCTGGGCTCCCAAACAGCAAATTTCTGATGGAAACAGCCGGCTTGAGGAGCTAGGAGCATGGCTGAGTGGTTAACTCTCCATGCCCATCAAAAAGTTTGAAAGGTAAGAGAAAACTTCATGCATGCTGCCAAGAGGATGCTTGCTTAGGGTGTTTCCAGGTAGCTAGTGTGGCAAAATGGCCTGCATTGTGTGTGGCACCACCACATGGTGAGCTTCTCAAAGCTCTATAAAGGGGTTTCCTCTGCATTCAGCGCTGGCCACTCCCAGTTAGAGATGGGAACTCCTCACCCCACCTCTTCAATTTTGTTAATGTTGGTGAAAATATTTTTCACTTGCCCCAAAATTCCTGAGTGGGATGGTTCAGATTTGTCTCAGATTTCACTTCAGACAAAATTCAGGGGCAATTTGGCAATGCATAGCTCTCTTCAGACATAGCACATGGAGTGGAAATTCTTTATAGAGAAAACTAGTGAATATTTATTCAGAAAAAGTATCCATGCTTTCAGCAGCATATATAACATAAATGCATACAAAACTGAAGCCTTAGACTGCGACCCTGTTCTCTCATTTACCTCAGAGCAAACCAAGTTGTATTATATGAGAATTGTGTAAAGATTGTGAATTTTCTTTGAGATTTTTTAAAAGTGGTGTTTAGCCTAAGTAGAATATCGTAGCTACATATCCCTTTATTCTGAATGGCAGTGGCTGATCTTGATTTATTCTAGGATGGGGAAAGTACAACCTTGACACTCTCTCTCTCTCTCTCTCTCTCTCTCTCTCACACACACACACTGTCTGCAGCTGCTTCCTGTAACCCAAGAGTGGGGAACTGTGGACACCCAGACAGTAACTGTTGGACAACAGTGTGCTGGCTGAGGCTGATGGGAAATTTATTAGATTGGCTTGCAAGCAGGTTCTGGTTTAATCAATTTCACCCTTCAGATGCAAGAGAGGAGGAGCCTTTCAAGGTCCCACTGCCCTTTTTTAAAAAAAGGACTACTTGAGCATTCATTATTTAATTTAGTTCTAAAAACACTTATTTGTACCCCAACCTTCATTATTTGATTTCAGGGCAGTGCAGAGCATGTGTGCTTGTGTCTAGTGTATCTCCTATCCTTTCATTAAAACAAAAAAATATATGCAAAACTTTAAATATGGATCAAAGACTGATCTGGATTCTGTGATGTGAGATGTCATGACTCAGACCACAACAGACATAGCAAAATGCCTGTGTGTGCATTGTAGTAGGACTGACCGTGCTTCTTGAGGCAAGTTCCAGTTTTCCTAGGCTACAGCTTGAAGTGCTAGGGATGGATGTTCTTACGAAAGCTTCCAGAAATTGATTTATCTAGCTCAGTACTGGCTACAATGGCTGGAGGCAGCTCTCAGAGTATTAAACAGGGTTTGTTTCCCAGCCCTGCCTGAAGATGCTAAGGACTGAAACCTGGTACCCTTTTGCAAGCAAAACAGGCTATGTGCTCTACAGCTAAACTAGGCCTCCTTCCCCCCACCCCACATTTGTAGAACCGGTTTGCTAAGAAATCATGGTAGAAAACCTCCTTCCTTGGAGGTTTTTCAGCAGAGGTTGGATGGCCATTTGTCATGGATACTTTACCTGAGGTTTCTGCACTGCAGGGACTTGGATTAGATGGCCCTTGGGGTCCCTTCCAAAGCTATGGTTCTATGGATGACTGTGTGCACTGCAGGCAATATCAGCTCTAAAATACCACCTCCAAGGCTACAGTCCTATGCACACTTTCCTGGGCGCAAGCCCCAGTGGGACCATGCATACAACTGAACTGTCTTTCTCTGAAATGCTGTTGCTTGTGCAAAGCCTAGGTAAGATTAGAACTGAAGCTAGGTTTCCCTTGTTATTGAAGCTTCTTAGGCGTCCGTGAGAAGCCTTGTGAGCAGACAGCTTTTCTGAGGGACAGCCCTTCCACATCTACCAGTAATCTTGTGAATCCATTATTCAGGAGGTTCCCCGTTAAGGTGCATCTAATGGGAACCAAATTCTCTTTTGTCTGTTGAATTGTCCCTCTGAATGAAAAATGAGATTGATTTCGACGCTTTAAAAATATATCTGCTCTCCCTAAGGTGCCTCCTGCTTTTGAAAAGAAATGGGTCTGGAGAATTCTGCTTCAAATTCTTTAGCATATTAGAACTGTAGAAATATTCTAAAATGAGAAGGAAAACAACATCTCTGTGGGTCATAAATATTTTCTAAATGACAAGCTCTCAGGTCGTTTGCTCATCAAGATGGTGCAATGTCCTTGACTTGCTTTGAAGATTGTAGATGTTACATCGGAGGGCATTTTGATCAGAGATGATGCACTGATATCCAAGCTGTGTTGTATAATTAATACCATCAGGTGTTCAAATGAAGAATAACTATGAAAACTACTCATGTGACAGAATCAGGATGCTCAAATAGAATTATCATTTGTAACATTTTGTGGGAGAAAGAGTAGATCTTTTTAAAGCTATGCTGAAGTCTCCTGTTTTTAGTTAGCTATAGCACATGGGGATAGTTTGGTGGGGATATATTTTCCCCAAATGTTTTAATTCTCTTTCTCCAGAACACTTTTGATGTGCGAATATTTACTTTCCTTCATCAGCAGGATGTTGGAGGGTATGCATCCTTTTGGTAGATGTGAGAAAGGGCTCTGCATGTGTAACTACACGGTACAAGGATTGAGTCTGATGAGGCCAGGATCTCTCCCCGCTTGTATAGCATCTCTATGCACATATATTCACACACGTAAAACCACTTCTCACGCATGCAATGTGTGTGGATAGTTTTGAGGAGGAGTGGTCTGCAGACATGAAAGCTGTGGGGTGGGGGGTGGGGGGGACAAGGCTAGTCCACGCTGCTCTATTACCCCCCTCCTCTATGTACACACATTATTTAAACTCATGGGGAAACCCTCTGATATGATTGTCACATGGAACACATTTGAAGGTTATAATAAATGTCCCATGATCTCTTGCAGTCTCACCCAAATCATAGTAAATTGAGCTGGAATCCTATCATTATTTTCCAGTACGTATAAGGTGAAGATGTCATGTTGGACATCAGTGTCAGTCTTTCTTGGAAATGCATCATCCTTCTAGAAAATGTAAAATATGGAATAATCTGAAAATATTACACTAAAGTCACTTTTAAGCACTGGGTCCCATTGGTTAATCACTCTATATTTTTGCTCCAGTTTTGTGTTGCCTAATTCATGTTATCTAACATCTGTAATTGTTAGTGGTTTTCTTTTAAAAAAATGTAAAGCTTAACCCCAACATGCATACAAATAATTCTTTTGCATGGCTGTGATCTTATACACTTTTACCTGGGAGTAAATCCCATTGAAACTCTTAGATCTTACTTCCAAGTAAACATGCTTGTGCTGTCTGTTACCTATGCTTCAGTTTAATTGACACAGAACTTAATTAAATATTACAAAGCAGAGTTTAATCTTTGATTTATTGTTTGAATAGTTACATTAATCTGTCACAAATAAATCAGGCTTCACTAGGGCTTAACACTGCAGGCTTGCCTTGTTAGTTTAATAATTTAACATCCACTGCCGGGAACAAAGAAGAGCGTTGGCGGTCTGTTTCATAGATCTTTCATTTTAGGCTTTAATCTTGTAGATCACACATTAGCTAGTTGCTGGGGAAATTATGGTGCTGGCCATGAGTAACTGAGCTCTCCGTTTTAAAAGCATGTTTAATTAGCAGTTCAGACCCCGTAAATATGGAGTTTCCTTCTCCTCAGCTGTGAAGGAGGCAATACAAAAGATTGCTAAACTGTAAAACGTGCTCTAATCTCTCATTTTGGTTAATGCTTACGGAGGATAATATGAGCTTTCTATACTATCTCAGAGTTAAGTTTTCCTAAAAGTCTCCAGCTGATGTGATTAAACACAGTTACAGTCCAGTCCTATGCATATCTGCTTCTTGTAGGCTACAATGGAAATTGCTCCCGAGTAAATGTGTGTTGAACTGCAGCCTTAATAGCTCAAATATCATTATGTTACACCCACCTTTCCGACATGCAGCTCCCAAATGACTTGTGCAGATCTCCATGTCAAAGAAACATTGGGCTCCATTCTGAATTCTGCAGTATGGCATTTTTTTCACCCGAGTTATACCTGTTAAGAACTTGTAGGAAACCCATTCACAAAGTCAGGTTGATGTGGTCTATTGGCAAAGCAGTTTAATGGAATGGCAGATGGTGTGGGGAATATCTCAACAGTGCCTCTGGACATTTCTATTGGACCAGCTCATCACTAAGGATGTTTTCAACCATTCAGTGAGAAGCCTCTTTTCCATGACTGTCCCTCAGTACCACTTGGTTGTACAATGGTACCGCGGGTTAAGAACTTAATTCGTTCCGGAGGTCCATTCTTAACCTGAAACTGTTCTTAACCTAAAGCACCACTTTAGCTAATGGAGCCTCCAGCTGTCGCTGCGCCACTGGAGCACAATTTCTGTTCTCATCCTGAAGCAAAGTTCTTAACCCGAGGTACTATTTCTGGGTTAGCGGAGTCTGTAACCTGAAGGGTATGTAACCTGAGGTACCACTGTATTTGAAACCACATCTGGTATAACTTTCATTCCTACTCAAGGGCCCCAGTACAACAGCATGTGTACAGCAGAGGAAGACAACATGTCAACTGGGTGGTTAAAAAAGCTGGGATCTGACACATCAGCTAATGGGTGGGGAAGAGGGGACTGAGTCTTGCCCCCAGAACTCTCCTGACCAGTTGTGTGCTCTGGCATTTTTTGCTGGGGTATGCACATTAATTTGCTAGCAGCATCTTTTTGGCATGTGCTATTCCCTATCCAGTGCACGGGGAAACCTACTTCTGCTCCAGTGGAATGAAGTGATTTCACAAATGGCTGGAGGCACACGTCTGTAAAAATTTAAAAACTTAGACTTTCAGCTTACACGTATTTCAACAGGCATCCATGTTGTTCTGAGAAAAGTATAAAAATGAACATTGATTTTGCTATATATCCAGCCTACTGATTTACTGCTTGTTTAGAACACCGAGGGGTGGGGGGCGTTGAGCACATTTTTCTAGAGCTAAAAAAGTAGCGTCTTG